CCATAATCTTGATCTATTTCATGTTTGATCTAGTGTATGGAATAGCGGGATCGCATATAAGGGTTGAGGGAGTGATTTGATGCCTCAAGCTCGCCTTTTTAGGGGATAAAAAAGTGATTTTTATTTCTAGATCTGACCTCTTGAATTCTTTTTCTGTAGGCCATTATGTCGCGAGTATCGAGAGGTCGTTTTCCTGCTGCATCGGTTGATGGCGCGCCTCCCTCATATGCTGGTGAGCAATTTTTTGACCTTTTTCGAAAATTTACAAATTAGTCCTCTTTTTTCTGGATATTTGCAAATTAGTCCATTTTACCCCCCGTTGTTCTCCTTGGTGAGGCAACCGGGAAAGGCCTTGGTTCTCCTTGGTGAGGATCGACGCTTTATGGAAATTTTGCAAATTAACCCTCTTCTTCTGAGAATTTTGCAATTTAGTCCTTTTACCCTATTTTGCTCTCCTTGGTGAGGCGATCGGGAAAAGCCTTGATTCTCCTTGGTGAGGATCGACGCTTTAAAGATGGGTTTTGCTTGGTCAAAACCACATCTCATAATAAAGGGGGCGTTTTGACGCTGCATTGTGCTTTATAAGGCAGGGATATATTGTCGATATACCCTATCTTATAAATGCGCAATGTGGCCAAATCGTCTCGCCCTTTATAAGGCAATGACTCTATCTTACCAATTTGTAAGATGAATTCAATTTCCTTTTATATCTGAAATTAACAAACACTTAACTGCTTGTTTTCAGTGGAATATCCTTCCGGAGCTTTTTCATCGCATGCGGTGAATGGACGTCGTGATGAGTATTATTCCACATCTGATGACTTTTCGCCCATTCCGTTCACCTCCCAGTTTGCTCCGGGCACGTCGTTGGAAGTTGTCCAAGTGGTGAGGGAAGGTGGCCATCAAGCTCTTCGCCAGCTGATCACAGATGCGCCTCTCGTGCAGGATGCCAGTTCCGTTCAGTCTCTTAGGAAGACTGACTTCTTGTTTGGAGACTCTACCAGGGATCCCGATGCAGTATTTATTGAGGCTGAGCAGTGGCTTTACCAGACTGGCAGTCGTTATATGTATTTGCCGAAGATTCCTCGACACCGTTCTTTGACTGAGCTCAGGCGCCAAGCTGTGAAGCGGGAGATGTCGTGGAGTTTGACAAAGGAACATGAGAGCGTTCACTGCGGCTATATTACTCATCAGGCAGTTCCTGGTTCGAGTCGAGATCACATTGTTGGACTACATCCTGGAGTACTGGGGCTAGATACTCCGCCTCGCAATGAGTTCCTCACCACTGCTTCTACTTTGAGGAATCGCCTCGCTATCTTAGGACGGGAGATGCCTGCACCGCGCCACAGATTCTATGGTTGGGTCCATTCTTTGGACAGGTTTTGGTGGGCTCGTATGACGAAGTATGTCTTGAGCCGATGGAGCGAGGAGTTACATGCTTGCGGTCTTTATGCAGCCATTCGGGCCACTATGCATGGCTTGCCTACAAGCGCGAAGCATTTCTTTGCCCTATGCGAGCTTTACAATCCAGATTCCAACACTTTTCTGACCAGGCACGGAGAGTTGGGCTTGGCTCTACATGAGATGCACAAGATTTCTGGTTTGCCCATGGGACAGATGTTATACCAGGAGTACTTTCCCTCCAACCATGAGTTGAGTCAGCTGAAGGATCGCATGCCCGACCGCTACGAGACCTTATGGGATCTCACTTGTCATTACCACATTGCTTTGGCGCAGTCTAAGCCCCTAGCGAAGAGGACCAAAGCAAATGTGAGCCTGAAGCAGTTCGCATCATACTTGTTCAGGAATCTGGAGAGCCATTCTGGCCAATCTATTTGTGAACTGGCACCGCTGACTCCTTCAGAGGTTAATGAGCTGCTGAATAAGACTAACGCCCAATCCTCTACCATTAGCAGTTCCGAGAGCGGCTTTCCTGCAGGGACTAAATTCAGATCGTTCTTATATCATGCGACCACACCGATTCGTCCGATGACTCTCCTTGCCGGTTATCTCGCCATCTGGTTGAAGAAATGTGTGGTCCCGTATCAGTCTGGTGACGCTCTGCCACTGGAAGTGCTCTATCCTGCAGTTCAGCTTGCCTACAAGAAGGAACTTTCGCTTCTTCCGGTGATGGTTGCTGTAGGCGTATAAAATTGCCTATAGGTCCCTTAGCACAGCTCGACGCCGATTTAACAAACGGACCACCGGGCGACGTATCCAAACAAGACCGTTAGCTCGCCAACGCTGAAGCCAAGCTATACGCAACGGAGCAGGTTAACGAGGCGACAAATCGCACCCAAGCATTGGAATGCATCCACTCGCACGCGGAATCAAACCAATGTTTAGGTGAATCACCGAGTCATCTAAACAAGAGCGAACTCGGATGAATCACGATTGTTCGCGGGAAAAATCGTGGCTTTCTTCATTGTTGATGTCATTGCTATCTCAGTTAACAACTTTATGCGTTACAAAGATATCCGGTCTTTTTATAAGATCCGGCTTACAATGAAAAATCAAAGAAAACGAAGTAAAGATTACAATTTTCCTTATTTGTCGAACTAATCGCGAG